TGTTTTTCTCTTTCTTACTCCACTCTGCATGTCACTCTCTAGGTCCATCCACGTCTCCACAAATGACCCAATTTTATTTCTTTTTATGGCTAAGTAATATTCCATTGTATATATGTACCACATCTTCTTTATCCGTTCCTCTGTTAATGTACATTTAGGTTGCTTCCATATATGCTCAAGATTTTTAGAAGCTCCCTAGGTGGTTGTCATATGCAGTGAGGGGTGAGAACCACCAAGTTAAAAGTTTCATTCAAGACCGTGGGGCTCCCCTAACTTGAAAGCTTGTTTCAGACTTGCTCAGACTTCTGGATTAGCTGTTAGCCTTCCAACCCTGCATAGCTAAGGGAAGAGACAAAAGCAACTATTATTTAAGAGATCGTTAGCCATGACCTTTATGCAATTCCTTCCTGAGTCATCACCACACAAATTGTATTAATGGGGTGTGATTTGCTTTTGCTTTGGGGGAAATATGATTATGGTTACTAATAAGGGTGCTCAAGAATCCTATGTATTACTGATACATACTCAGATGTATTTTAACTTGTTATAGTACTCATTAAAACTCACCCTGAACTTAGCTCTCAGGTAATTTTAAATATTGGAGGTCTGAGTTCAGACCACTTGGCTGTGAACCCAGAGTCAAGACTTCTAACATGTGTGTGTAAACTTTTTCTTAAGCTCTTTACACCTCAGTTTCCTCACTCAAAAAGGAGGTGATAACAGTGCCTCCCTGTTGGATTGTAGTGAAGATTAAAGGCTGGTTCATATTAAATTCTTTGCATCATGCCTAGTATATGATGTATGTCAGATATGTAATTTTCTCATCAGAGATCCTGAAATAAAAATCACAGACTCAGTTCTTACGTCATTCCATCCTCCATGGAATGAATTTTAATGTGTCAATCCCTTGCAATTCAAAACTCATGGATGATTTTTGTGCATTTTTATAAGGACTTTGCATCAAATTTCAGATAGATACCAATAGACACGGATTTCAGAAAAGTAATGTGTGGCAATGGGATTTTGTTCTCCATGTAAAACAGCATTTAAGAGGCAAAGGAAGATGATTTTTTTACCTTGTTAGTTTTAGTGTGTGTGGTGTGTGTAAATGAAGTTAGAAACTGTGTCCAGGTTTTTTCAAGATCATGCAGTGGCATTATCTTTGAAAGAGAAGAAAGCACATGCTCAGCACCTCTGCCTCCTTTTCTAAAAAGGCGCCAATATTAGAATTTTTCAGAAGCTAAAAGCGAGCCAGGCCGCTGTCTTTGGGGGCAGTGCTCTGCAGCAAAGTTTCAGAAATTCTCCGAGTTGCCGCCGCCGCCAGTGCAGTGGTTCCAAAAGATGGCACTGCGGTTGTGGGGGACCAAAAACACAGAGTTGAGTTCTAACGCAGATTTTGATTTAACCACAGAAATGAGGCTGCACCTAGATTAGGTGAGTACTAGCCACCATTCTTTCTGCCTGCTATCTGTGCAGACAACAGGGCATACTGAATTAATAAACTACATGACATGATGTGATAACAACAAGAATGATGAATTAACAACCCAGTCTTGGTGAAAGTGTGACATGCTCCTGATCTAAAGGGGGCTCCTTAGCCTAATGAACTTGAGAAAACCACATGCCACTGGGTGTTCTTAGGGATTCACAACCCACGTCACCTTCATTTACGTCTCAGAGAAGTCCTGCCACGAACATACTAGTTTAACCCAGTTACATTTGACTGAGGAACCCCTTGCTCCCCCAGCAATGCTGACCACATTTGTAGCTTGATTGAAGAGTACTTGGAGAATCAGTTAATACACAATCAAACAAGCAACTCAAAAAACTTCATTCATATTTCAACATCTGAATCCAACTAACAGCTATATTAATTCAATATGTGAATAAATCTCTATTTTCTGAAGAATTCTCTGCATTAGTTTCCTACAGGGAACAAAAAAAAGGTAGCTACTGAGCAAAGTGGTCTTAAAGACAGAATAAAAGGTTGATGCTGACAGGGGAAAGGGTGAAACTCATAGGCTCTTTGGGAAGAATGAATGAGAGTGAAAACACCTTTGCGTTTATGAAAAAATAAGATTTAAACAAATGGGGACTAAAACTCCTAAAAGAGCATCACTTCTATGAAAACAAACATTGTGTATAATTGTCAAATAAAGGATGATGTGTCAGTTTTTGTCTGGAACTTTTCTTTTCCTAAGCACACTTGAAAGTATTCAGTAATATAGAGAATGACTTTCCCAAGTTCACTGCAGATATGTGCCTTTGTCAAATCTGCATTAGCTAATGAGGTAATTTTCTCCCAAGTAAATTGCTCTAGGAGACAACAGCAGACTTTGTGTCCCCAAGAGGGAAAAGGTCCAACTTGCTGATAATCAAGCATATGAAGGGAAGGAGGTTCTGTTCCCAGTTTGGTTCTTCTCTGCCTGAGCAGGGAGGGTTTTGGGGTGGGGGAGTGGAGGAAGATTGTACCACTACTGCTTGGGCTCAACTGTGGGAGGCATCCAGTTATTGAAAGGGAAAGGACCAACCCCCCTTCTAGAAATAGCCCAGGAATAGCCAAAAGTCGAAGAGTCCTTAAGTGGCCACAGCATCACCCCAAAAGAAAGCTCCTCATTAAAATCAAAATGGTACCCTCATCCCAGGTGCTGCTGTTTTGCCCTGTCATCAAATCACATTCCCCTGTAGAGGGGGAAGGCAATCAGTGTGTACAAACAGCACTTATGAATTCTTCTTTTTTCCCACATTTTGAGTGAGGGTGACAGCAGACATAAGTATTTCCACAGTCTCTGTGGGGAGCCGATCTCTATCAGCGGGTTCGACTATTTGCAGCAGCTCCAGTGGCAAGGAGAATTTCTGTTCTGACAATCAGAATTCTAGCAAACGGTAAATGTTTCTTCATGCTGAGAAGTGGGAAATTCAATAATACTTTGGCTGGGTTCATGCTGAGTAGTGAAAATAGAATGAATATGGAGAGGGATTGTGACTTGAAGAACAGTAAATCAGCTAGCCCAGACGTGTGGGACAATCAGCTTTTAATTCGAAGCCGTCACCTGTTTCTCTTCCATTCTCCACAGTAACAGGACTCTTTTTATATTTGTTCATAGAGTATTTTATGCTGTGATCTCTTGTTTACCCCAAGAGACAGAATGAAACTTTCAGAGATGTTTTTAAAATCATCTATTCTGTATATACATTGTTATGTCACTACGGGACCGATTGCCGAAGATCTTAACTATGTGTTAGTCTAAATTCCAAAAGCAAAGTTGGTGTAGGTAGTATGCAGCTTGTAGTAATATCATCACTTATTATGACTGAACACTTCCTTCTGTAAACACTCACAGGTTTCAGAGGGGGTCATTGGAATGAAAGTCCCACGAGGGCAGAGGTTTCTGCGTCTTTTGTTCAGGACACAAAGTTCTTTAAGAAGTTGATGAATGAATATTAATCTCTAGGCTATGAAAAGTATACTCAGCGATGAGTGCTCTGAAAGGTCTAGGACTAAAGCTCAGAGTAAATTCAGTTTTCCTGACTTTGTATTATGTGTGATTTTATTCAACAGCTCTGATACTTGATTCTATTGAAGAGGTTTTTATTTTTTTTTAATTTTTTTAAATTAATTAATTTATTTATTTTCATTTATTTTTATTAGTTGGAGGCTAATTACTTGAAGAGGTTTTTAACAGTATGTTTTCTTTTAAGAGTAGTACTGAAACAAAATAAAAGTAGTATGTTTCTTTAAAAAAATTTTTAGTAATGTGATCACTGAAACTTAATCATCATAGAAAAAATAGAAAAGTATACAACCAAAAAGAAATAAAATTGCCATGCTTATACTACTCAGAGATAATCACTGCTATGGTTTAAATGTACGTTCTCCTAGATTTTCCTATGCACACATTTATATGTTTTTATAATGTAAGATTAGATGTATATATGCTTTTTTTCATTCAACAGTACTACATCCTAATAGATATGTAGTGTATATATATCATTGTTATTTTAATTTGCAATTCCTGAATGACAAAAATTGTTGAGCATCTTTGCCCATGCTTTTTGGCTGTATGTATATCTTCTTTGGCGTGAAGTCTGTTCAGATTTTTGCTTATATTTACTTACTGTTAAAAATATGTATTATTTTTGGCTGTGCCAGCTTTTGTCACTCTGTGGGCTTTTCTCCAGCTGTGGGAAGCGGGGGCTGCTCTCTTGTTGTGGTGTGTGAGCTTTGCATCGCGGTGGCTTCTTTTGTTATGGAGCATGGACTCTAGGGCACTTGGACTTCAATAGTTGCAGCACGTGGGCTCAGTAGTTGCGGCTCCCAGGTTCTAGAGCATGGGCTTGATAGTTGCGGAGTACAGGCTTTGTTGTTCTGCGACATGTGGCATCTTCCTGGACCAGTGATCGAACCCATGTCTCCTGCATAAGCAGGCATATTCTTTACCACTGAGCCACCAGGGAAGCCCTTATTTTTAAACTGGGTTTTTTGTTTCCTTTTGTTGAGTTTAAGTTCTTTCTTATATTTTGGTTACAAGACCTTTATACATGGACTTTGTGAATATTTTCTCAGTGGTGATGTGCTTCTTATTAGCACTCCAGGATTGCATGCTGCTTTGCAACCATAGACGCTTACATATAGTGCTAAGTGCTGATTAACGACATGGCTGTGCTCACCTGTGTTTACTCTTTCCCAACATGACAACGTAAGCTCGCTCTTACTTCCTTAAATTCATCCATTCATTGTCACCGAATCTTTGTATTCTAGGGTCATCACTGTCTCTCTCTAGGCATTTGTCTTTATTTATTTTAATTGAATGGCCACGGTAATAATGTGCTTATTCATCTATTTGCAATAAGGTTTCTAGTGAGAGTTCAACCCTGTTTGTTTCCTGCTTTTAAAGAAAACAAATGCGTTTAGGGGCCAGGAAGTTGCCCACAGGATTTAGGCACGCTGTGTCATTGGTGAGGCTAACTGTTGTCTGTCTTCCTTTGCATGGCTCCAGTCATCAAGCCTCCTCTGCGTCACTTTAAACGCCCTGCTTATGCATCTAGCTCCTATGCACCTTCAGTCCCAAAGAAAACTGATGAGCATCCTGCAAGGTACAAGATGCTGGATCAGAGGATCAAAATGAAAAAGATTCAGAACATCTCACATAACTGGAACAGAAAATAGGTCAAGGGGAAGAGGGAGTGAAGGAGAGGTCTGCTCAGCTGCCTCTGCACACTCACCAGCCACAGCCGGTTATGCCTCCAGGAACTCTGGAGGCCTTTGAGGCTGGCACTATCGTTGTTGACTCCACCAAGTCATGGTGAAGACTGTATGTGAGTTTCCCCTTTGCTATTCTATTATAGATCCACCAATCACAGGCTTTGGGCAGCCTCTAGCAGCAAACCAGTAGGAGTTGTCTCCTGTGGCTTTTATCGGTATAGATCTTTCAAAGTCTAAATTGGACCAAAGTTAAAATGATGCAACCTGTTCAGAAAAAGTGAAATTCCTCCCACTGACACCTTATTCATCCCTGGAAATTAACTTGCCTCAATGAAAATATTGGTTTAATATTAATTACTGTTTTTAAGAAATGCACTGTTTAAAACATCAATTCTGATTTTCAATACAATTATTTAAAATTCATCAAAAACCAGAATTTTTAAAGTAAATGCATTCCAAACAAAAGTTGTACTTCTGAATGAAGCAATCTTAAAGGGAAAGGAGGACTGATGAGTTGTATTCATAGGTACTCCTGAACTTAGTCTTCACAAAGAGGTCCAAGTAAAAAATAAAGACCCTTGTCTTCATTCTTTCTTTTTTTGCTGCACAGGTTGTAGGGTCTTAGTTCCCTGACTGGGGATTGAACCCAGATCCTTGGTAGTGGAAGTGTGGAGTCCTAACCACTGGCCTGCCAGGGAATTCCCAAGTATTTATTTTGTTTCTCGTTGTAAGCCTTATGCCTGATCGCCTCACTGTCGGGCCTAGAAAGTTGGGAGGAGATGCATCTTGGCTCTGCTTTCTTCCAGTCTTTCATCTTCATTCACAGTAGACAATGCCAGGAGTCAATGGGATGCCCGTGCCTCAGAGTCTCCTGCTTTAACATTCACCCAGGAGATGTCCGTTTAGTCTCACGGGCCTCCTTCAGGAGAATATAAAATGCTGAACCTAATTTGAATTCCTCATTTGCTGATTTTTTCCCAGAAGGTTAGAGGTACCTTTAAGTAAAATTTCTGGTCATCTTCCCAATAGACCACATATCTAAGTCTCTTTGGGAGCCCAATTGATCTCACAGCTGTGGGCAGCACAGAAGTCTGTAACTTACCTTTCTTCATGGTGGCATTTTTTAGCCCTTCCATAAATTTCCCTCGAGTTTTTACTTTGGGACTAAATTCACAGAAATGGTAAGGAGAGTTTCAAGGACAGAAATAGCTTTTGATCCCTTTGGAAATAGTCTGGTGCAGTGGAAAACTTCAGGTTTGTTGTTGGGCAGGTCTGATTTCCAAGCCTGTCCTGAATATAGTTAGTTGCAGGTCCTCAGTCTACATGGCATAACCTTGAAAAGCCTCTGTTTGCTTACTTAGAAAGTGGGCTTCACAACTCCCACTCTTTCCTTTTGTGATGAAGATCGGGGATTACTGGGTTCAGATTGCTATTGCTGAGCCTGTAGTGTCATCAGTGCACAGCAGAGGTTGCCTTGAGCATCTCACAGCCAGAAAAACTCTCTGGGATGCCTGTCAAAGGGAGGTCTGTGCCTGAGCCACAGCCTTTGGGATTTGATTGTAAAGGGCTTGTCGTCTTCTCCTCTCTTTCTCCACATTTATTTCCGATAAACCACAGCTTTGCAAGTTGAGTTAGCACCAGAGTTTAGTGCCCATCATGCTATTGAGCAATTTATTTACAATGTGCTTTATGATGGTATTTTGGGGAAATTTAATTAGTATACAGAAGAAAATCACTGTAATTTCCTTAAGGAAGCAGTTGTAATTCTTAGCTCCCTGCTTGGTGCCTGAGCCAAAGGATACTTCCTTAGGCTGGTAGAGTCTCATCCACCTGAATTAGGTTAACTCGATAGGTAATTCCTATCTGTATTGTTGTTGTTTAGTCGCAGAGTCATGTCTGACTCTTTTGTGACCCCATGGACTGTAGCCTATCAGGCTCCTCCGTCTGTGGGATTTTCCAGGCAGGAATACTGGAGTGGGTTGCCATTTCTTTGTCCAGGGGATCTTCCCAGCCCAGGGATGGAACCAGCATCTCCTGCATTGGCAGGCAGATTCTTTACCGCTGAGCCACCTGGGAAGCCCACTTGTTTGTATACAGATACATTCGTGTTTGCTGCCCAGAGCCACTCGGACACAGTGAAACTGAGCATGAGGTAGTGGCCTCCAGTGGATCAACCCACAAATGGTGGTCCTCACCTGTCTGTCAATACAGTCTGTCAACTTCAGTGGTAGTGCTGAAACTGTGGCTGTGCTTTCTTGGCTGTGCTTCTTGGCATTGGAAGTCATGATCCTGGGGAAGAAAGCTGGCTCCTTCTGTATTCTTTAATCCCAAGCTGTCACTTTTCAGCCTTTGTTTATCTTTTATTTGAGCAAATGTACAGATATTGAAATTCTGCATTGCTTATGAAATGCCTACCATATTTTTTTGCATGATGGATTGTATAGATGTGCCAGATTATATTCTTTTAGTAAATAAAGAGATACTTTTAAAGAACTTTCTTGTGAGTCATCTTTTTCTTCTGCAGATTCTGGGATTCATTTGAAAAGAGCTAGATTTCCCTTATGCTTGGCACTATTCAGTCCTGAATATCTTGTCAAAATGAATAGTCTAACTTACCCTTTCATTTTGCTTCCTGATGGTATAGGTGATAGTTGGGGAAAAAAAAAAAAAAAACACCCTCCTTCTCCCTACACTGGAAAGCCAATAAATCACTGAGAATATGAGTAATAATAGCAGCTAGTCCATAGGTAACCATCTGTGTTATCTAGCAACTCAATTTATATCATCAGACTAAACTCTATGGCTTGTCATTAAGAACTGAGACTTTGGGGTTAAAAAATTTCTTCTGGGGTTAAAAAAATGTCATTAAGAACTGAGACTTTGGGGTAATTAAATCTCGGTCCTGTCTTTTGTTTGCTCTGTAATCTCTGCCATGTTTTATATTCTTGCTGAACTTAAGTTTCCTTACCTATAAAACGAGAATGATAGTATCTGCCTCAGCATAACATAAGGCTGAGCGTATAGTAAGGACTCAATAAATATCAGCTATTATTTCTAAGAGAAAGAATGGAATGCAGTAAAAGAAGTAAGGTTTTTGAGTTTAAGATTAATGTCCCTTTCAGTTCTATGACCAAATAGGTTGTTCACATTCTTCCATTTCAGTGAAGTCAATCATTTAACTATGTGTTACCTACCAAGTTATTCCCATAGGCATCAGCTTCTGCCTCACACTGCACTTGATTCTCTGGCACATGTTTCCACATCCAGCTGGAAGCCCGACGTCCCCGCCCTCAGGACTGTCCTCCTCTGTGGGTTTCTGCACCTTGGAGTTTGAGGGCTGCCATCTTTTATCTATTACGGTCATGTCTACTCCCGTGTCCCACCTCCTCTGAAGCCCTGACCAATCTCCCTGCATTTTACTTCGTACTCTCACTGCTCTTCATTCCTTCCTACTCACCCCACTTCTCTTCCGCCGTTCAGTGCCTTTATTCTTCCCACGTTATACCCACGAAAGTCTACTGTATAGAACAGACTTTACTGGGAGGTTGAAGATGATGACACAGAAGAAGCAACTAATTAAAAATGTAACACCAACACCAACATCAGCGGGTCTCCCTTTGTGGAGGGTTTCTCACTGGCCATGTGTTCCTTAGACGGGGACTCACCTCTGTCTTCCCAGTTTTCTCCTTCTGCTAAGACCTTGTGTGCTAAGTCACTTTAGTCGTGTTCAACTCTTTGTGACCCCATGGACTGTAGCCCACCAGGCTCCTCTGTCCATGGAATTCTCCAGGCAAGAATACTGGAGTGGCCTGCCTTTTCCTACTCCAGGGGATCTTCCATGGACCCAGGGATCGAACCCTGTCTCTCCGACATTGGCAGATGGGTTCTTTACCACTAGCACCACCTGGGAAGACCAAGACTGTAATCCCCTCTTGAACTTCAAATTGCTGTGAATTTGAAGAGCTATCCCTCTTATTTCCTACATCACATAAGTTCTAGACACTTTTAAAGCTTATGAACCCACTCTGCCAAACAAAGGACATGTGCTCCTAAAAACACAAATTAACTGACCAAAGCTTTGAAATGACATTCTTTTCTCTTTAATAAAACCCAATTCTATCCTCCAATTAAAAATAAATTTAAGAAAAGAAAGAAATACTATGTAAAAGAGAAAATAAAATCCTAGGAAAGAATTAGGATCGGTTCATTTCAGACCCAAGTCCTTTCCTTCAGACCAATTACTGTGGCGATAGATGTGAGATCTCACACACACCCCCATTTAAATTTTGAAATATGTTCAGATTAAATACAAATAATGGTAAAACAACAACAATCCAATTCTTAGGCAGGACCAGTCCGTGTAAGAAAAGAACGATAAATATGTGTCTCAATTTTCTAAGCCCTGCCCCCCGGGGCCCCAGGAGTTCTGTTCCCCACCCCCTAATCTGGCTATAATACCAACCTCATATGGCTAGGGGAGTGACTGCCACTTATGTGCTCAGAGAATACTAATTCTCTTCTCTTCCTACCTTCCAGTACCTCTTCCTACCACAAGCTGGTTAAACCTTGCCCCTGCACATCCACGGAGCTTTTGAAATAGGGCCAGCATCTAGCATTCTCATTGTTACAATTATTAACCCCCTAATCCCCCAATCCCCCAAGCCCCCATAGGACAGAGGAAAAGGGTGGAGATGGTTGATGACCAACACTTCCTAAGTCTAGGATTTCTCTCCAAATTCATTCCTAAAACAGATGGAAGTTCACTAATTTTTTGGCAAGATTTGAATTTGTTTTCCCACTGGCAGCCAACTTCATTTGGTCAATTATATTCTCTGTACCCACTTCCAATTTAAAAAAATCCTATTGGGCCAACATCTTGATTTATTGAGAATCTGTTAAATTAGGTTAAAAGCAAAAATGCCTTTGGGATGGGAGTTGGGGATGAATGACTTGACTCCAGGCTT